TAATTAGCTGATTTGGCGCTTACTCAGACGTTATTCAAGCAGTTTGGGCACAAAATCATACTGCTAATAGCTGTGTAATAGCAATGAAACAGATGAATAAGTTTTGAATAATTGTACGACAAGCTGAGTATCTTCTGACTAAAAGTATTTTGTTCTTTTATACAAGTATTACAGCTCTGTTATCCAGACGATGAATGAATGATGAATGAACGATGCTTGTGTCCTCCAAAGCTCAGATATTCAGATGATACACAGCGTTTAGCTTATTTCAGAATATTTTATCAAGAAGTTTTTCAAATTAAATTGAAGTTGACAAATAATATTATCCGAGCACAATGACGCGTTTGTTTGGTAGTGAGCGACAGCAGAAATATAAATGGCCGATGAGAAGCTAGCGGTAAGTAAATAATTTTACCCTTATTTAATGCTTATAATACTAAATTGTAGGTGCGCATGCAACTTTACCGTGTATTTATACATACATTTCATGTAAAATTTTCACGCGCTACCTAATAAGCCGGGTTTTTGAGAAATAAACAACATTTCGTCTGCTGGTTTGTTTTTACGGGTGCAATATTTTTTATGTTGTATACAACTTAAGGGTTCAAAAATAACCTTGTAATACTTTTTACAAGAATATTATACCGATTTCATTATTATAATTGAGTATTCGAGTATAAAATTTCTCACCATTTAATAAATTTGTTATTCATTATGGCGACGCTTATTCTGAATAAAATCTGCTTGCACAACGGCTTCTCGTCTAATGTCTGCATAACAGACCCTATCTGTCCACTTATTCAGTTGTTCTCTGGTTAAAAGCGGTCTGCACACAACATACACACATCAAAAGTGTCTAGGGATCAAGCATTTTTATGCGGATTTCTTGAGATTGAGATGTGGCTTTGTAATAAATTTATAATTTTATAAATTTATATGGATCCTTTTTGGTGCATTTCATAATTTGAATCAGGAACTGTGAATCAAATTCGAGTAAAAGATGAAAATCAGCTGTCAATATTTTCCCTATAAAAACATACAACGCATTGAAGACATTATTAGTGCTACTGTTTCCCTACTACTGATTAAAACCAACGTTATTATGGAGCGGCGACGTCATTTAAGCAGGGAAGAAATGCTCAGAGCCGTGGGAATGATAGAAGCTGGTTCCCGGCAACGTACTGTGGCTTTAGCTCTGAATACAAGTCAGAGTGTTATCAGTCGACTTTGGACACGATACCGAAGCACTGGTACCGTGGCTGAGCGCCATGGAGGACGGTATCGCTGCACCACACGGAGACAAGACCGATACATTCAAATCTTAACTCGAAGAGCTCCAACAATAACCGCCATGATGTTAGCCGTGAGGCTTCATCACTCTTCAGGGAACTTAATTAGCGACCAAACAGTCAGAAACCGCTTGCATGAAGTGAACCTTCATTCCCGAAGACCGCTACGGGTACCACCTATAGCAATGCACAATCGTAGGATTCGATATCAATGGGCTCTTGAACACAGAAATTGGGCAGAAGAACAATGGCGTTTCGTGTGCTTTTCTGATGAGTCTCGTTTTGGTATGAGACCGGATACAAGACGTATACGACACTGGAGAACCCCTGGACGCCAACAGCGATTAAAATCCTGCCAGGAAGTCCATCCTTATAGTGGTGGAACCATCATGGTATGGGCGGGTATTTGGATCGGCGGAAGAACTGAGTTGATTTGGATCAGAGGCAACCTCAACGCTCAAATTTATGCTGAGACGATTGTATCAGACGTCATCGTTCCTCTACAAGTGCAAATCGGTCCCTTATTTCAGTTAATGCATGATAATGCACGACCGCACACCGCAAGAGTTGTAAGACAGACTCTCGCCGCAGCTAACATCAATGTCCTGCCCTGGCCTGCTCAGTCGCCAGACTTGAACCCGATTGAGCATGCATGGGATATGCTACAGAGAAGAGCTCTGCCGAATATGGAGGGTATCCAGTCGCAAGAAGACCTTTTTTTGTTGTTGCAACGAACATGGGCGGCCATTCCACAGCGTGATTTGGATGAACTCATTTTGAGTATGCCAAACCGATGTTCTTGTGTTGTTAGTGTTCGCGGTAGAAATACGGATTATTAATTGTTTAAGTTACCCAATAAAATTTTAGAGAAAACTGTTATTTCAGTCTTTTTTTCGAACTTTTGTGTTAGTGGTTCAAATGTCAAAAATCCCTTTATTAGGAAAATGGCAAATTTCTTTATTAATGCGAAGGTGACTTGGTTTATCGTTACTGTGACAAACGAAAACACTTTATTTGATGAATCCTTAAAGAAAATTTTAATTAATATCAATCAGGAGAAAAGTTATTGCAAAAATATATGTTGATCCCTAGACACTTTTGATGTGTGTATTTTCGATAACTGTTCTATAATCACACACACTCGTACTATAAATCAAACAATTAGGATTCAGTCATAAATAAATGAAAACCCATAGTATAATGTACCTATTTGTTATTTTTAGCTCTAATCAAATTCAGATATTATTATTTTTATTAATATTTATTTTAGCAATACTTATTCAATATAAAAAAGTGTTACGACACGAAAAATTACAACTAATGTAAATAATGTAGTACAGAATAAATAAGTATAGTAGATTTTAACTACTTACTACACCACCTTGTAGTGTTTAGGTACTCTCCTCGGTTCGGTCGGTGCGGGCGCGCAGCTAGTGTCTCATAACCCCCCCGCTTCCCCACTCGCTCCACCGACGCAATAGTCAGTCAGTCAGTACGTCAGTACTCAGTCTGCTACCAGAGTGCATGCGTACGGCCGTTTGTGGAGTATAGCAGATAGTTGTCGCGTTAGTAAGTCAGTTACAGAGAAGAGAGACACGGTTTAAAAAGTTGATAAGTGGCAGACATAGGTAGGTTGTTTGAGCCGCTGCGCTACTAATGTAAGTAGGTAGATATAAGTTGTGTCTTGCAAAAAATATTTAGGTTATTTCAGGTGGCCAGATGTACTTACGGCAAGTAAGTACTTATTAGGATTTTTGATATTTTTCAGAGAACATGCCGTTTAAAATTGTGTCTACTCGTCGAAAAGGCAAGTTAGAACTATGTACTGTGCCAGAAACATGGGAAGTCAAACATTGCGTTGGCCTAAGATGTACGGTGATATACTCGCAAAAAATGATAGTACCCAGCCCCAGACAGATTGGTTGACCTATAATTGTGTAGTGAAAAGAAGAAACTACCATACATACGAAGAAGCAGAGGATGAATTAGAAAAAATGTTAGAAAAAACAGACACGGACGATACCGATTCCAGTGAACAATCCTACAAACGTACTACTGCTCCACAAAAAGTTCCGAATTTGAATGCTGCAGCTCAACGAATAATGGTAAATTAATACCTACCTATTTATTGAAATCTCCATATCCACATACATTGTCATTTTATACATTATATTGTTAGTTCAAGTAAACATATGAATAACAAACTAAGAAAATTGAAACTGTATCTAGCTGGCGGCCGCGTTACCCATTGTTTTAAGCAATTATCAGAATAATATAAAAACAAATAATTTACAGTTGATTTTACTAGAATAATTCGAAAAGGTTTTTATGCAGGTCCAACCACACAAGCAGGTCCAATCACACAAGCAAGTCCAACCATACCAGCAAGTCAAACCATACAAGCAGGTCCATTCACACAAGCAGGTTCAATCATACAAGTAGGTCGAACCATACCAGCAAGTCCAACCACGCAAGCGGGTCCATTCACACAAGCAGATCCAACGATACAAATATTTCCAGAAACGTCAATTCTGACCAACCAGCAGCACTCCTATACTATTGATGAAGCTGTTTATACAGTATCTACCGAAGAGCAAGAAAATATGCCTCAAGAAGTACACTATTATACCAATAATCAAAATATGACAACCCATATTAAAAATTTATACGAGATACAAACTGCAATTTTGGACAACCAAAATAAAATAATGAAAAAGCTTGGGGAAATGTCGGTTCAGTTACAAGAAATACAGGATCAGAGCACAGAAAATATTACAGTAACAACTTTAGCTCAAGCTAAAGGAGCAGAAACTAAAAGAATGCGTATGGATGTTGTCGATAACATCGAAAGCTTGGAGAAGCTCGACAAAGAACTGTCATGTCCTAAAATACTTATAACATACTTAGAAAAGTATGCAATATTATGTTCTGCGGCGCCAGGATCTGGCTCTAACTGTGCTTATAGACTTTTAGATTAAATTTTTACCAAGGACTTTCTTTGCCAGTGTTCCTGGACTGGAGAAAGTCGTGGAGATCGATCTTAAAATAGGCTTCAAAAAATATAAAAACATATTAAATTTCTTCTTTCTAAATGGTTAATTATTGGGACAACACGTACACAGTGCAAGATAACGAAGATTTTTTTAAAAGCATATTGAGAAATGCTTTAAAAAGGAAGACATCCAAAAACATTCATCAGTCGAGCAAGAAAAGAAGGAAATTACAACCCAAAAGAGTCGATGAAAACAATACTAATAATGACGGTGAAAACAATACTGATAATGACGGTGAAAACAATACTAATAATGACGGTAAAAACAATACTAATAATGATGGTGAAGCAAATATAAATGATGATGGTAACCATAATCCCAATGACGAAAATGCTGATAATGATGGTATTAATAATACAGAAAATGATGGAGAAAATAATCCAAGTTATGAAAACGAAGCCATAGTTGAAGAGGATCCATAGAGGTCTTGTTATTTTTATTACTTTTTAGTATTTCTAAGGAAAGAAGATGTTCTATATGAAAGTGTTTCGTTCCTACAGCGTAACGCTATAATAATAATCGTTTACTTCTATTTTTTTTATTTCTTTATTACGACGTAACGCTATACGTTTAATTCTATTTTGTTGATTTTTTTATAACGATTTAAGATTTCGTCAAACAGAAGGCGGCGCGGCGCGGCAGCGGAGCGGCGCGGTGATCAGTGAGCGTTGCATTCTATACAAAATGTATGAACGACGTCAAACAGCGCCGCCGCCGCGCCGCGCTGTCCCGCGCAGCTCTCTGTTAGACGTCATTCATACATTTTGCTCCGCTGCCGCGCCGCGCCGCCTTCTGTTTGACGAAGCCTTTAGATTTTTATAGCTAGAATTTTGTTCTTTAAAACAGAATCCCGAGTAAAACACTTGTGTGTTTACTCAATAATCAGATTTAGAACTTGTTTCTTTTCCTACTTTGTTGAGTGTAATCGTTTGATAGGTAGTGATTAAGTATTCTCAAGTGGTATTTGTACTGAAAATAAAAGGAAGACTGATTGACTTACACAATTGTTTTATTACAATTCACATACATATTTTAGTCAAATATCCAACACTCTTTATAAATAGCATATCAAGTTAAGTATTCCTTCCTTTCCTTCCTTCCTACACTTGATAGTTACTAAACAGCGTGCCCAAGTAAATCCATAGCAATTGGAATACGGTCCATACAGTTTAAATTGTTAATGTATGTAATAGAGGAATGAAATAAAGCTCATTTTTGTTTGTAGTTACTACAAACTTATAGCTGATACTAATGAAACTTATGATTTCTGTTGTACGGTTTCCATTTTGTACACCTGTTTTAAACATATTAAGATATGATGACTTAATAGGTAATTCGAAGATGTCAGATACATTTTCAATTCTGTACCCTTTGATATGTTCATTGGTTATTTCTGCCACTTTTATAATTTCTTCTTCTGTAGTCATGAAATACTTATCCTGTCTTTTGTTAGAAATTACGAACTTACCAAAATCTATTATTTTTCTATTTTTGCTATCTGTATTTATGACAGGATATTGGATAGTTTCATTTTTCGCTTTATTTAATTTAGATTTAACATTCCAGTCACTCTCTGTAAGTCTTTTAGCTATTTGTGATAATGGCTTGTTGCCAGGTCTAAGCATTTTTTTATGCAGTACAGTTTGTTCTCAAAAGGGTAAGAATTAAAGGTGTTAAGTGGTCCGAATTTACGAACTTCATCAGTAATATGTACCAAATTATGAATGTTGCTAGTAATGTAGTTACCATAATATGTTTTAAAGTTTTCTACGAAATATAATAATAATTCGTGGGAAAGGTCCAATATTGAGCTGTACTTTAGGCAAGAGCAAATTGTTACCCCACAGAAAAGAGTCAAAAAATGTTCATAGGGGCCTTTCGACATAAAGTCAGGCAGAATAACAATACTCAGGTAATAGAAAAATGACCGGAATTCAGATGCTTTCCAATGATGAAGCTCATCTAGACCTCGCATGGATCTATGAATTTCGGAGGGTAGCTTACAGGTGAGTAAAAACTGTGTTACTTTCAGCGTATCGTCTGCTCGCCATTTTGTAGTAAGATTCTTAAAATTTCCATCATGCCATCCCACCAGTAATCGTTTCATAACTCCTAAGTCAATCAGATGTAATGAATCGGAAATAGGAAAATCTTCGATCATATCTATGGGTAATTTTAAAAGTGGTGTATCAGATTTTAGATGATCTCTATATTTATTATTTCTGAATTCTTCATTTGTTCTTTTAGGACATCTTGAGTTTGGAAACACGACAGTATGATACTGATGCGAGTATTCTCCTACCGTAGTACATTTTAGGCATCCATGCCTAGAGTTAAAGTTGCATACACCTGAAAATATAAAATATTTTCAATGAAGGATTGTAGTTTTATTGTAGTATTTGTAGTACGATCTACCTAAAAGACCTCTTTCTACACTAATATTATAAAGAGGAAAGATTTGTATTTGTGTGTGTGTGTGTGTGTGTATGTTTGTAATGAAGGATAGGACACCATGCGAACGAAGTCGCACCGGGAAGCTAGTTATTTATAAATTAATAGTTTCTTATGAATATTTTCACCACAAAATACGGAACGGATTACGGTGGCCACTCCAAATCTTCCAAGACTTTCAGTTTCTGCGACAAAATCTTCTAAATACTGACTAAGGATCTTTGGTTTTCCTGATCCATAATAAATTCCAACTACAAGAGGCTCTATTTCTGGTTTTTCGTATATGTTGCAAAGAATTGGCCAAAATTCTTTTTTCGAGCTGTTGTAAATTGGTAAACCATCAAAATTCAAATTTAATTGTATAGATTCAGGGATTTCCAGCCATAAAAAAAATATTATATCTTTTAAAGGTTCAATAAGTCCTTTGTGCCAATATTCTCCACCTTCAATTTTTTTTATTACAACATTTCTCTTAGTCTGTAATAATGTTCTCGGGTCTACTGGCAAAACTCCTGGCAATCTTTGATTGACGACAACTATTAATTCTCTTAAGGCTTCTAGAGAAATATTTTTATTTATGGCCCATTGTCTTAAGTTATTACGAAAGATTAAATTTTTTTCATATTCCGTTTCAGTTTTTTTTAAATTATTGGAACTCGCATCACTATCTTCAGACGTTTGAATTGATTCATAATCTTCGTACAATGTAGATTCATAATTATTTCTTACGGAACCCGTTTCTATCGATTGTGGTCGCACTTGATTTGTACTTGGATCAGATGAACTGGAAGTACTTGTTTCAGTCGTTTGTGTATTAGCACAAATAGAGTTTTTTATGTTTTTTCAAATGTTATAAACTGTTATTTTACATAAAGAAAAATAAAGTTTACATCAAATTTAGTAAAATACAAATGAAAATAATAATAAGAATCGTAAATATTTCTAAATTTCATACCATCCGTCTATCGGACGATCACACTAATTAATTTCATCTGTCAACGTAAGAGTAACTGCCTGTTCGCTAAGTATGGATTCCTTACAGAGCGGCTTGTTTTAAAACCACGTTTTATGAATATGTTTCTTTATTTTTTGTTTTGAAATGTAGACTGGAAATATCTATCACAAGAAACCCAATGCGTATATATTTTAAATATGTGTACAATGTAATTCGTATTGTTGTTATTCGTTTATTTTATTTTTGCTTTGCATGCGCTTTGGTTAGGATGAGGACTCGCGGTGGTAAGCGTGGATTAAGAACGCGTGGTGGAAGTGCAATGCGTTTAGGAGTCTCGGGTGCATCACTGGCTGATGATCGAAACGCGACTGCAAGCGGCCGTGATATTGGTGCTGGTCATCGCCGTGCTGGAAGAGGGCGCGCTAGAAGGGCTAGCTCAACACCTTCAAAGTATACCGCTGTTTATTCTTTTAGTTTTTTTGTGAGTTTTATTTCTAAAACATACTAGACTTTGTTTAGGATCAAGGGTACGATCTGCTCCCTAATGTCGAGCCTTGTGAGGAGCCGCTCACAAAGCGCACTAAGCGGACTCTGCCGTAAGTATTATTAATTTTTACCAGTACGAAACATTTCTGATACTATTGTATGGCTTCCATAATTTATCTGTTTTAGGACTGAACCGGGACCTTCACGTGCAGAGGGAAGCCTCGATATAGATACAATTGCTCTGCCGGTACAAGACGTTAGGGAACCAACAGGTCGTTTTGACAATTAAATCACGCAGAGTAAAATGTTAGCTATTCCAATGAAATAGATTCCAATTTTCTATTCAAAGTTTTCATAAAGTTGGTGTCGTACTTTTTTCTTGAGCTTTATTCCATTGTTTTGCGTGATTTAACTGTCAAAACGGGCCTTTTTTATTTTTTTTTACGGCGACGGCTTTACTCATTGTAATTTATCGTCAATATCTATTGTATTTAACAGGTAGTGATGACGATGAGCGCGATAGTGCCAGTGAAGATGAAGAAGTTGAACAATCTGCTCCTCTCCCTCGGGTTAACCGATGGCAGTTGGTGGATGACGATGATGTTGTGCCCGAAATGGTATCGACAGCATCTGCAGCTAGCAGTCTTGAACCTGCTAGTAGTGATAATACAGATATTGCAACATTAAACCCTAAATCAATGTTTGCTTTTGAGTGGAGGCAGTTCCAGGGCGAAGCTGTCCAACAAAGGAGGGAAGTTTTCACGGGTCCTCCTCCTGGTCCCACCAAAATTTTAGAGACGCCATATAAAGCGTTCATAGAAATTTGGGATCAGCGGGTAATGAACGTGATTGCCGACGAAACAAATATCTACGCACAGCAAACTTTCAACATATTAAAACAGCAGAATTAACTTTCCCACCGTTCGCGCTTGCTTCAATGGAAAGAAACAAACGTGGATGAATTGTATGTCTATTTTGCTGTTTTAATTTGTTTCGGTCTTTGCTCGAAGGGCGACATTAAGGAATACTTTAAAAATCTGTTAAAACCCATTGACACTCCTTATTTTCATAAGTATATGAGTTACGATAGGTTCATTTTACTAATTACAAATTTTTACATTTCGCTAATAACGAAATAATAAACATAACTACTGCTGCAGAAGCAAGATGTTTTAAAATAGAACCTATCGTAACTCATTTAAACCAAAAATTTCAGAGCCTTTATAATTTGGACCGGAACATAGCGATTGACGAATCCTTACTCAAATGGAAAGGCTGGCTTAAAATAAAGCAATACATAAAAGACAAAGCTGCATCGGTAGGTGTTAAAACTTTCGAGTTATGCGAGAGCAAGTCCGGCTATTTATGGAGAGAAGAAATTTACACTTGGTCGCAACACAATACTGCAACAAAAACATCTCCTGTTTCAGGATTTGTTCCAAGCCTTGTCTTGAAATTGATGGAAGGCCTGCTGAACAGAGGTCATAGTCTTTTTATGGTCAATTTTTATAACAGCCCGGCTTTAGCGCGTGTGTTAAAGGCTTCTGGCACGGACTGCGTTGGCACTATAGTTGTAAAAAACCCGTCAGCTACCGTTAATTAACCAAATTTATGGTTAGCTACCGATAAAATGCAGTTATTAACGGTTATTTATCCGACTGCGACAGCTAAAAAGGGTAATATTTTTTCTTTTACTGTAAGTATAGTCAACTCCTTGGTAAAGTTATAAATCGATATCCGAAAGATAAAGATTTGTTTTTAGGTATTATAAATCATTTTTAAAGCGACATTATACATTCCAATCCCTTAATTATGAGTAATTTAACTTAAACGTAAACTACGTATATTATACAAAGTATTACTATTAAATAAACACCTAATTTGAACAAACGAGACTTTGCCGCTTCGACTGAACGGAATGGTAACGTCGCCGCGTAGGTATAAGCAGCTGGCGACCAGTGTCATGCATGCTATCTCGCTCACACATTCGCGGCGGCGGCGGCCGGGCGGGGCGGCGCGCGCGGCGAGCGAGTATGCCAAATTGGCATTGCCAATCTGGTGGATACAGTGAACGCGATATAACGTACGTTTGTTAGTTGTAGTGCGGAGCTCTTTTTGGCGAACTAAACATGCCGCGTAGTATTGGTAGTGTTTGGGAACATTTTTTAATTATATCTGAGAGTGACGGCAAAAAACATGTAACTTGTAATTACTGTAATGTGCAATATAAATCGGCCCAGGCAACGAGACTTAAAGAACATGTATTAAAATGTAATAAATGTCCAATTGAGGTGAAAAAAACGTATCGTCATGAAAAAGGTAATAACAGTGCCCGTATTGCGCCAACTCCGGCTTTATCACCTACATTAAGATCATCTACCTCGACAACGACTGACTTTTCATCAGCGAGTACATCAAATGCATGCGATTTAGAGTTCTCAACAAGCGATGTTTTATCTGTTAGCCATAGAGACATTGACACTGTTGTTGCGAGAACCATTTATGCTAGTGGGGTTCCGTTGTCGCTGCTAGAAAGTGAATATTGGAAAGACGTTTTCAAAGTTTTAAACCCATCTTATAAAGTGCCGTCCAGGCATGATTTAAGTAATCCACTTTTAGAAAGTGAGTACATGCGAATAGAAAGGAAATTGATGATATTCTTACGAAATCTATGGCTCTCGGTCTTATTTGTGATGGATGGACAAACGTTGTTGGTAAAGGGGTGCTTAACTTTATAATTACAACGCCGAAACAAATTTTCTACAATGCCGTATACCCTGAAACTCAAAGAGAAACTGGTCAATTTTTGAGTGAGAAAATGATCGAAGTCATTAATGAAGTTGGCCCCGCGAAATTCGTTGCCGTAATAACTGATAATGCCGCTAATATGAAGGCAGCTTGGGCGATTGTAAAAGATAAATACCCTCACATCGCTTGCGTAGGATGCGTAAGTCATGCTTTAAATTTAATCTATAAAGATGTTTTTAAAATAACTCTTTTTGAGAATGTCCTACGCAATGTCGTCACAGTTATCCGATACATAAAAAAGGCTCACGTTATACTGGCATCATTTGAAAAGTTTCAAATTGATAAATACGGCCAAACCAGAACCAGCCTTAAATTACATTCAAAAACGAGATGGAGCGGGGCATATATTACGATTACTTCCTATAAAGCAAATAGAGAGGCGCTCGAGTTGGTCGCCATATGTCATGAAACCAACGTGGTATCCCAAATAAAGACCATTATTTTTGACAGTCAGTTATGGACAAAAGTTGACGAGGTGGTTAAAGTCCTCGAACCAATGGCCAAGGCTATTTTGATATCTGAAAAAAATACTGCTCTACTTTCAGATGTGCCTTTTATTTTCAATTCATTGAGCCAAGAGTTAACCACCGAATTGGAAACAGCAGCGTTTATAAGTGAAGCAGACAAAAATGTGATATTGTCAACTATCCAAAAAAGAAAAGAATTTTGTATGAAGCCCATTCACTACGCGGCACACCAACTTGATCCACGTTATTACGGCGTTTGTCTAAGTGATGAGGAGATAAGTACGGTTGCAGAATATTTACGACAAGTTTCAATAACAGCAGGCATTGAATATGCCAAAGTACTTAAAGAAATGGCAGAATTTAAGGTAAAGGAGAATTTTTTTGATGAAAACATAGCAATTTGGGCTCCAGTGAAAGAGTTGGAACTCCGAATATGGTGGAAAACTTTTGCTTCAAACTTAGACATTGCTAAAATAGCCATCAAAATTCTGAGTGTGCCCCCATCATCTGCTGCATCGGAACGTAATTGGAGTCTTTTTTCAAGAACGCATACCAAAATTAGGAACCGGCTACATAATTCAAGAACCGTGAAATTAATGTCCATTCGGGCCAATTTAAACTTATTTCGAAGAGAAATCGTAGATACTGTCATAGTTTCTGATTTATCAGATCAAGACAGCGACGATATTAGTGATACTGATAATGAAGGCGAGATCACAGAATGGGATCCCCTTTTGTAATATCGACAATGAAGTGTAATGAGCTCCTAACTGACATTTTCTAATTGTTTGATTCATAATGTGTTGAATTTAAAATACGGTTTCGCATGCAATACCTTGACTATCTAACTAGACTAGACTGGAAGATGACAATGAATTCACAATACTTATAAACATTACCTATTCATTAATTTGATACTTCCGTGGAACAAATAGAACCGTCTTTTTCTCTTTTCCTCTAAAACATTTTTTTATAAGATAGGACATTACACTTCATCGTCGATGTACTTGATTTAAAAATAAAAAATCAATAATTTGTTATAATCACAGTGTATTCAACTTCACAATATTTTTTATGCCTTAATAATACAATAATAATTAACATACATATTTTTTATTTACTCCTACTTTTATTTATCAGGAACTTTTAAATCACAGTATTTAATATTACTTTTATGTAATAATATTTTTATTTCTTCCTTTTTAAAACTTCTAAAATTTTTTGCATCAAATCAAATCGGTCATTGCCTTCGTATTTGTCCAATTCATGTGCAATAAACTTGCAAAACATTAGGTTGCTTATCCTTGTGTTTTCATCGATTTCGATGGAAAATGGTAATGTTGTCATGACGGACGCATCTTTGAATTGTTTTTGCAACCTAGGCATTTCAGACTGGATGTCGAGTTCTTCATCAGACCACGTCTGAGCATTCTGCTCATGTAACTCCGGTACTTGACTGTGGGGACTCCCGCAATGTGTAGAAAGGTCATCATCAGTAATGAATAATTTAATTTTCTTGAAAGCTATATTGTCAGTGTTTTCGGTAAATAAATTCTCTGATGCTTCGACTTTTTCTACATCTGATTCGGAGTCAGATTCTGGTATAGTAACATTACCTGAAAAAGAAAATAGTTGAAGT